AGTACCACATTTTAAATCTTTTTTCTTTCCTACTCTTTTCTTTGGTAACCTTTGAAAAGGTGCAAACTCTACTACTGCTGGATATTCTATGCCTTTGGAGTCAACAAATACATAATTGTCAAATTTTTCTCTGAACATAAAAATGTCCTGTTGCTCAACAAAATTAATATATACTCGAGAAAAGGCATATTGTCCCATAGACATATCAGCTTTTACAAAATAAAGATAGTCATGTTCCGGCAATGGGGAAACTTGTTCTAGAAATTGTTCCTGAGTCATAGTTGGAGGTAATCTTCGTATTACTACCTACAAATATATTTTACTTCTTTCATTATTAGTTAAAATTGAATTGAAATATAGAATATATTAATTTTAATAATAATTACGAAAATTTTAACGACTTATCGTTATTATATTGATTAAGTATTTTTTATTTTTTATTCACAAAATGGGACAAAAAACATTACACATGACATGTAGCTATAGTTTTTTCCATTTTTAATAATGATACTACGTTTATTGTCATATGGAATGTACAATGTGTTGTTTGATATTCGAAAGTAAGTATCTTTCATTTATGATACATTAAACAAACATTGTTTTACTATATTATGTTATAAATATCTTAAATCGAAAATTAAATTTCGATTGTTGTTTCACAAAATATATCATGTTGCATGTGGCCAAAGTGTACTTTATGTGAACAATAAAGGATTCGTAAATTTTCATCATCATTTTAATCAAATATACCTTTGTCATAGGCCGGCATTTTTCTTTTTTAGTATCTTTAACTTTTCCAACATCTGGAGAACTAGTTTGCGCCTCATTTTGTGCGGCTGTCTCAGATTGTTGTGTTTCCTCGGTCATTGTTATCTACATTTATTTAATTTCTTGACAATTCAAGTTTATTTAATATTATTTCAGTCCACTCTAATCAAAAGTTACGTTTAAAGCATGCAATTTTCTTCGAGTCATCAAAATAAACGTTTCCGTTTACAAAGTTTTCGCGGCCATCTTGCTCCACTCAATCGTAAAAAACTATTGGTTAGAGAGGAAATAAACCTTCTTCATTCATTGGGGAATTTTTAAATACATATGATTTGTATGTCTAGGGAATTAAAATTAAAAGATTAAAGTTGTTTTTCTAGTTCTTAGTATTTAAAATTTTATGAGATAATA